CAAAAAAAAAAAAAAAATATGCAAATTTCCTTGGTGGGAAGTGATTTCGCGAACCTGGTAAGGTACAAAGCTGAAACTTTGCAGGGATATTCTGTTTGCACGCGCGAGCTAAAAGCTTTAAAATTCAGCTGCCGCGCACACCTGTGCAGCGCGTAAGACCGCGTCAAAGTTTGTGACTTGGTACTATGCTAGCTCAAAAACTTGCCGGAAAACAGTAGCTGAAATTTTGTCAGGATTTTTAACTCCCATATAGGAAATAGTATACCTAAAATGAGTACAGACTTGCACTTGCGCCACGACTTAGGGCATTTCAAAATATTTGTAGCGAAGTGAATATTTCGCTTGCAGGATAAGCCGCGAGGCTGAAAATACGCTGGGATATTCAAATTTCAGGTGCGGTCTTAATTATACTTGGAGGCAGAATTCCCTCCAGATAGGCATGAGGAATACTCAACTTTACCAAAAAACCAGAAACGAGTGCGTTTTTCAGTGAACGATCGCCATCACCCAAATATATAAATGAACATTAGTTAATTTGCATACATGAATTTTTTTGACAAACGACCGTTCAAGCAATACTTCCACTTTTCAGTGAACTGGAAATTTGCATTTTTTCAAAAAATTTGCATTTTCACTTTTTCAAAAAGCTAGCATTTACCGAAAAAATGACCGAACTTCATGCAAAAATCTGGTAATCATGTACCTGCAGGTCCGTGCGGCTCTATAAAGCAACACCCTCATCCCTACCGATGCCTTTTCTCCTGCATGTCGGAACAGGCCAAAGCATGGCCAACAAGCATCCAAGTGCTACATTACAGCGCAGGGGTCATTTCTGCCATTAGCGATCTGCGAGTTTAGTGCAAAAACGCATGATCGCACTGGCAGGCCTGGTGCGTTTCCAGCCTGGGTTGCATTTGCATGTGTGCCAAAACGCATTAAAAAGTGTCAACAAGAATATATCAACATGAACGCAAATGCAAAATTGTAAAGCAATTATTGCTGTACGAAACCGCGCAAAAACATACAACTGCACCGGCAATCGTGATGTGCGTCGCTACTGGGTTTTTGAAATAGTTTTCCTAGAAATCGAGTGATAAATCTGCCACAACGCTATAGACACTATTGCCGATTAGAAGACTCAGCATGGAAAGTGAACGATTGTTTACCGCATGCAAAGTTTTAGGGCTCAATATAGAACAATTAACGAAAAAAAAAGACCCAGCAAGTACTGCCATTTATTGCTTAATTTGTAGATTCCCGGTCTCTGATCCCTCAAGTTGTCCTCTTTTAATCTTTGCACCTGTTTTGCACTAGATTAAAAATAATATTTAGTTGATTTTTTAATTTAATCTCAGTGTGAGCTGGTCACTGGAGAAATGGATCCAAAAGCTCTGCCATATGACAAACGGCTGGCTTGGCATTTCAAGGAGTTTTGTTACAAGACAAGCGCACACGGAATACCAATGATTGGTCGAGCCCCCAACAAGTATTACAGGTTATTTTCGTTCTTCTTTTAGACATTTTTATAGGAATTTCTGGAAACGTCGAAATTGCCAATTTTAGGGGAGTCTGGATACTGCTGTTTCTTGGATGTTTGACAATGTTATACCACAATGCACAGAGCGTCCTCGATAAATATCATCGCAATGAGAAAATTGTTGATATACAGCTCAAGTTTGGTATGTTCGTTTTATATTCACTTGTAAAATACATTTCATCAGCAGCGTTTTCGTGCACGAAGCCCTCTTCTGCAAATGAGTACGGAATAAGGGTGAATCGAAAATTAACCGCCTTCATATCCGGACGCGACGTCTGAGCCGCTGCGCCACCGGCTCTTGTGCTTCAGGATCAATTCGAAGACACTCACACTGTATATCTATCTTTTCAGATAACGAACATCTTTCTTGCTTTAGGCAGTGCAGGGCTTATGGCTTCGTCTTCGCTGGCTTTTTGCGGGTTTTTCGCAATATGTGTCCAAGGCTTTTTCCCAAGGAAAATAGTGGTATAGCCAAAATTTTAGGAGCTTGAGTCACTTTGAGCAAATTCTTATGCCTTTTTACTTAAAATCTGCCAGGGAGCAATGAGCTGCAAGTTCCCCGATGCGATCAATCCGTGGTTTTGTATGAATTTTGAAGCAGTCAGATCGCTAACAGTATAAATGGTTTATGCCTTGCGTGCTTTCATGCTGCCTGTTTTTACGGTTTTTCCTGCATGTCGTAGAGAAAGGAGCGTCGGGACGATGATTTTGCATTATGGGGTTGCGTGAAAATGGGTTGTTCTCTATCTTTGCGCGAACTCAAATTCAACTATCACAAATGCATGCTTCACACGTACTGATACATCAAAGTTTAAATCGAACCACCTTTGGCAAAATGCTAACTCACAAACCACACAGTTTATCTTGACTTAACGAGAACATTTGTCGCCATACGCAAACGCGCTCGCTTAAAATGAACTTCGGCTTACGCCTGCATCGCGCATTCGAATAAGTAAACGACATTCGAAACGAGAAGCTATTTCGCCAACCAGACAGGCAAGGCAGATGAAAATTTACGACGGTATTCTTTGCCCATGCACGGTCAAAATATTTGAAATCTAGCTTTAAAAGTTAAGTATGGGACATTGCTAGCACCCAATTAACTTGATAACCGGAGGAAGCAGGAAGTATTATTATCCCAGTGACGCTTTTTTCCACATACGAGCTAGCAAGTGTAAAATAAGCTTTTGCTAGCGCATATGCTTCGCGTACAGAAGTATCAAGTATTCAAACTGCAACACTGCCGTTATCCTATTCTGTCTCTCCTTCCTGACAGTCAGGCAGGCAGAAAAGCTGAAATTTTATGCGAATACTACTTGATTCTGTAAAGCAGCAGTAATTTTCACGCATGTCAGTGTATTGCGTGGGGATACCATAAATTTCAAGCTATGATCGTACAAACAACACTGATGCGCGCCGCCACTAGTTGCATTTGCATAAATGTGCAAAAAAGCATTAAATCGTGGAGTGGCAGAAGCGTGCACGTATGCATTATCGCAAGTGTATATGTATATGTCGTTTTAACAACATAATGAGTATCAGATTTGCTGAGGTCAGAAAGCTAATACTCTCAGGACACAATTTCCGATCTTATGCGGAGTCACGAACTAACCTAAGCTGTGAAGCACGTGGCTTGCTGGTGCGATCATGCGTTTTAGCGCTACACTTGAAGCAAATAGACCGTTAACTGCATGAATGGCTATTGCTTTATATAAAACCTGCGCACTCATTAAGGCAAATTACGGTAAATTTGCAGGAAGAACCCAAGCTGGAACGCACTAAGCTTGCCGGTGCGATCATACGTTTTTGCACCAAACTTCAGGTCGTTAGCTGCATGAACCTTTTGCGTTCACTGCTGTAAATCATAATAAATTTTGTACAAAGAAAAAGTTTTAAGTGCCCTGGACGCTAAATTTGTAATTATGCGTTTTTTGCAGCAATGCAATGCGAAAAACGCATATTGACAAGAGGTTGTCTGTGTGTGCGTCTGTGTGTGTGTTTCTGTGTGTGTGTGTGTCTGTGTGTGCGCTGGGCCTCTGTACCGATTTTTCATCTCGAGACCGGCA